CAATGCTCCATATATCTACAGGAGTAGAGTAACGAGGAGATCCCAAAAGAACTTCGGGTGCTCTATACCAAAGTGTCACAACTTCGTGTGTATATACTCTTACGGGAATACCAAATGCTCTAGCCAAACCAAAGTCTGCAATCTTGATCATTCCTTTCTGATCAATTAGTAAATTCTGTGGTTTTAAATCACGATGAAGGATTCGACGTTGATGGCAATATAGTATAGCTTGTAAAATCTGATGCAGATAACTCTTAAAAGGATTAAAAAAAAGGATTTTTAAGTAAAATTTATATGCAGACTAATATCATTTGTATTTGGAAAAGATCTATATACACACATCATATTTATGGTATAGAGTCGATCCCCCCCTATAACACTATTGATTTTTCCGTTTTATATGAATTCCATGTTGTACGAGTCACTTAAATTTTACAGATACGTGTGCCGGGGAAAAAAATATATTACAAAAAGAAAAAAAAAATTTTCTTCTCTTACTCATAAAAAAAACACAGTCGACCCCCCCTATAACACTGTTGATTATTCCGTTTTATATGGATTTCATGTTGTACGAGTCACTTTGATTTTTCAAATACGTATGCCGGGGTGTAAACGGCTCACGTATTTGTAAAATCTAAGTGATTCGTACAACATGGAATCCATATAAAACGGAATAATCAACAGTGTTATGGAGGGGGTCGACTGGTATCTACTGACCTGAAGTAAATCAACGCCACAAGTATCCAGTTGAGGTACATTTGTCAGAAGTATATTTTGTTTCCACCTTGGAAAAGTAGGCTTATAATCAGGCATCTGAGAAACTCCAGGCCATATATCTTCGGTTGGAGTTCTTAAAGTTCTGAAAAAAAATAATAATAATTCAAACAATTGTTTTAAAAAAAAAACAAAACCAGGAATTTAAAATTTTACCTAAATATCTGGAAAAGCTGATCGATTTCTGAATCACCATGAAAAAGTGGCCTCTTATTAGCCATTTCAGAAAAAATACATGCAATGCTCCATATATCTACAGGAGTAGAGTAACGAGGAGATCCCAAAAGAACTTCGGGTGCTCTATACCAAAGTGTCACAACTTCGTGTGTATAT